GCTGTGGCTCAAGTGGTAGAGCACTAGCCTTGAGCTGAAGAGCTGAGGGACAGCACCCAGGCCCAGAGTTCAGGCCCCACGACCGGAACCCCCCCCCCAAAAAAAAAAATCATTTGCCACATGATGGGACAGACTCTGACTCTTGTATTGACAATTATGTATGGCCTGTGATTGATACTGTAAAAATATCAATGGCCTTTGGAAGAGAAAAGGTTCCCCATTCTTGCTTAGGCAGGTATGAAAGAGCAGGAAAGCTCATTATACCACCCATCAATCCCACACAGATTTTTTTTGTTGCCAGTTCTGGGGCTTGAACTCAGAGCCTGGGCACTGTCCCTGAGCTTCTTTTTCCTCAAGGCTAGCCACAGTGCCACTTCCAGCTTTGTTTATATGGCACTGAGAAATCGAACCCAGGGCTTCCTGACTGCTAGGCAAGCACTCTACCACCAAGCCACATTCCCAGCCCCTCTCACAGATTTTTTGAAGAGAGCATAATGATCATTGTGTTTCATTTTCCTTCAGCAGCTGAGAATATGTAAACCTATCAGGAACTACATAGCATCAATTTGGAAACAAGTATTTTGCAGAAGAAGAGAAGCTGGCATGCAGAAAAAAGCAGATAGAAGATTTGTTTTGAAATAAAATGGTGTCTAGAACTTTTCTTAGTTGTGCTGAAATAAGTATTGTTAATTTTTTGTTTTACATTCCTATTTTCCTTTAGACTGCCAGCAACCCTGTATTTGTGTGCGTGTGTGTTTATCCTGGTATTGGGGCTTGAATTCAGGACCTTGAGGTCTTACTTGGCTTTTTTCTGCTTAACACTTGAACCACACTTCTTTCCAACTTTTTGGTGGTTTACTTAAGTGTCATGTGGAATTTTCTGCTTGAGCTGGCTTCAAACCAAGTTCCTCAGATCTGTCTTTTGGGTAGCTAGGATCACAGGAGTAAGCCTGGCTCCAGTGTCTGGCAATGCTGCTTTTGTTTTGGTGGTTATAGGACTGAACGCGGAGCCTTTGTTTTCTAGGCAGATGTACTAGCACTTGAGCCACATTCCCTGCCCTTTTGCTTTTTTTTTTTTTTGCCTTGGCAAGCCTACATCATGATGCTCCTACTCTACTTATGCCTCTATACTATATAGTTGAGAAGTGTGAGCCACCAGGCTTGCTTTTCCCCACCTCCTTTGTGGGACAGCTTTTTTTTTTTTTTTTGAACTCTGGGCCTTTTGCTGTCCCTGCGCTCTTCAGCTCAAGGTGAGTGTTCTACCGCGTGAGCCACAGTGCCACATCCAGTTTTCTAGTGGTTTATTGAAGATAAGAGTCTCACGGACTTTGCTGCCCTGGCTGGTTTTGAACTGTGATCCTCAGATCTCAGCATCCTGAGCAGCTAGGATTACAGGCGTGAGCCACCAGTGCCCGGCTTGTGGGACAGTTTTATATATACCCCAGGCTCATCTGGAACTCAAGATTCTCCTTCCCCAGCTTCCAATATACTTTTGTTTGGTGCTGGTTCTGGGACTTGAACTCAGGGCTTAGGCGCTGCCTCTTAGCTTCTTTTGCTCAAGGCTAGGACTCTTACCACTTGAACCACAGCTCCATTTCTGGCTTTGTGGTTGTTAATTGGAGGTAAGAGTTTCAGGACTTTCCTGCCCTGCCTGGCTTTAAATGTGATCCTTACATCTCAGCTTCCTGAGAGCTAGGGTTACAGGTGTGAGCAAGTCACTGGCACTCTGCTGACAAGATACTTTTTTTCTAAATTAGGTAGTAATTAAAAGCTCAGAAGTAATTAATACTGGGAGTAAGTGTTCAATGAGATAGTAACTTTTATAAACTGGTGATGGAAACTCAGGTGGCATGTTTTCTGGAACGTAATCAGGTACTGTTATATAAGATCTTAAGCCTGGCACAGAGGCACACATTTAAAATCCTAGCACTTGGGAGTGGTGGAGGACTACTCTAGTCTACAAAGTGAGGCTATGTCTCAAAAATAAACAAAAGAAAATAAAGCCAGAAACCAGAAAATTATTTTGCTAGTTAACTGGACATAATAGTCTAATGGATTTGCCTGCCTGGGCTGGTTCTAAAATGTGATCTTCAGATCTCAGACGCTTGAGTAACTAGGATTACAGTGTAAGCTACTGGCACCCTATAACATGTTGTTCCCAACTATGTTACTTAATACCTAAAGAATCCCAATTAGACTAGGACATAGACTGTCATTACTCTCATCCAAGTTCTTTTTAGTACTTAGTTTCCATATAAGGTTCATTTTGGGTGATGTGGATAGACTAATATTAGTATTACTCTATGTCATGAGAAAATAAGTCCCTTTTTTTTTTTTTTTTTTTGGTTGGTCGTGGGGCCTGAACTCTGGGCCTGGGTGCTGTCCCTCAGCTATTCAGCTCAAGGCTAGCACTCTACCACTTGAGCCACAGCACCACTTCTGGCTTTTTCTGTTTATGTGGTGCTGAGGAATCGAACCCAGGGCCTCATGCATGTGAGGCAAGCACTCTACCAGTGAGCTACCTTCCAGCCCTCTCCTTTTCTTTAATGAACAGTATTAATAAGTAATTTGCTGTAAAAACATACACAAAACAAGCATCTTATAAAGAAACATGGAGCTGGGTGCTGGTGGCTCAAAATGGTATAAGTGCTAGCATTGAGCAAAAGAGCTTGGGGACAGTGCCCAGGTCCCAAGTTCAAATGCCATGACCACCACCACCACCACCAACAACAAAAAGAAACATGGAGATGTGAAACCTGGGGTGTCTTCTTACTTTCATGGTATAAATGTTCCTAAGAACTAAATTGAACAAATAAGTAATATAAATCAGGTTACATTATTATCACGACTTTAACTGCTAACAAACTTGTGTTGGGTATTGGCTTAAAAACTCTGAAGTGTAGAAAGCCATTTTCAAGAGAACAATGCTAAAGCATTTAAATATGCACGTTTCTGAGAATAATGAGGTTTGAGAACATGAAAATCTGACTATGTGTTGTTATCAGAAGTATGTCTTGGCAATGAAACATGTTTTAAGAAGGGAGGAGGGAGTAAGAAAGAGGAATTGAGGAATTTAATCGAAATACCTTTGTAAATACTTGGAAATGTCACGATGAAACCCTTCTCATGTACAACCACTATATACTAGTTAAAAAAAAAGTGTAATGTTTTGGTAGGAACTGGAGCTTAGTTTTACTACTGCCTTACATCTTAAAATATTTAGTTAGAAAAAATAAAAAAATTCTAGAACTAAAAGAATGAACTATACTTTAGTTAGTGCCAGTAGTGGGGCTTGATCTCAAGGCCTACCTGCTGTCTCTTAGCTTTTTTGTTCAAGGCTGGTGTTTTACCACTTCAGCCACGGCTCCACTTTTGACCTTTTGGCAGTTAACTGGAAATAAAAGAGTTTCATGGACTTCCTTGCTCAGGCTGGCTCTGCGTCTTCTCAGATCTCAGCTTCCTGTGTAGTTATGATTACAGGCCTGAGCCACTGGCTTGTGAGCTCTTTTTTTTTTGGGTCCGGTCGTGGGGCCTGAACTCTGGGCCTGGGCACTGTCCCTCAGCTCTTCAGCTCAAGGCTAGCACTCTACCATTTGAGCCACAGCGCCACTTCCGGCTTTTTGCTTATGTGGTGCTGAGGAATCGAATCCAGGGCCTCAGGCATGCAAGGCAAGCGCTCTACCACTGAGCCACCTTCCCAGCCCTATGAGCTCTACTTCTAATGGAATTACAGAATTACTGAAATGTATAATACTTGTTGTAAGAGTGATATTGAAATTTCTGGTACTTACTGAGATTCAACCTCTTGTTTGATTTCTTGCCATTCTCCATATGGGTTTGTTTTTTTAAGAGGTTTGGATTTTTCTTCCTTTGGACTTGAATTCTGTTTTTGAGTAGTTTTTTCTTTCTTTGATTCTGGCTCTGTTCTTTTGTTACTGTTTTTATTTTTTTCCTAAAATGTAAAAAGCAATAAATAACACTTGATAAAAACAAACATCTTCCTTTTATTGGTGCTAGTGGCTTGAACTCAAGATCTCAAGCTCTTGCTTAGCTTTCTTGCTCAAGGCTAACACTTGACTACCTGAGCCTCACCTCCATTTCTATCTTTCTAGTTCTGCCCAGGCTGGCTTCAAATTGAGATCTTCAGACCTCACCCTCCTGAGTAGTAGGATTACAAGAGTTGAGTTACCAGTATCTGATACAAATTTTTTAGGTTCTTGGAAATGTTTTGTTACAGATTTATAAATGATACATTAACAGTTTACATTTATAAGTAACAATAAATGTACACAGACAAACATAGGTTTTAAGTTTAAATTTTTATTCATTTTCATTCATTCATTCATTTTGTGCTGGTCCTCTGGAGCTTGAACTCAGGGCTGGGGCAATGTCCTTGAACTTTATTGCTCAAGGCTATCACTTTACCACTTGAGCTGCAGTTCAACATCTGGTGTTTTGTTGGTTAGTTAGAGAAAAGAGTCTCATGGACTTTCCTGCTTGGATTGACTGAACCATGATCCTCAGAGCTCAGTCTCTGAGTAGCTAAGACTATAGGCATGAGCCACCAACATCTGGCTTCCACTTCTTTGTAAAGAGGCTGAACAGATATAAGTCACTAGTACCTGGCCCATGACTTTCTCTCTTTTTTTAATCGCCAAGATGATTTATAGAGGGGTTACAGTGTTACAGTTACGTAAGGTAAAAAGTACATTTCTTGTCAAACTTGTTACCCCTTCCCTCATTTTCCTCCTACTTTCCCTCCTCCCCCTTAATAAAACATTTTTGCAGAGGTTCAATAGGTTATAATACTTTATACTTTTGATTCATATGCAATGACGATCCCTTCCTCTGGGGATCACATCACTTTCTACACTAACCATTCTTCCTTATATAATCCAAGGCCTCTGGGCACTACTGTTGTCACTGATTACTTTGGCAGCAACTAAGTCACCATCTGTACTTAAATTCCTGCAGTTGTCTAAAAACCTTAAGAATGTTCTGATCTCTTTGGTGGCTCCCAATTCTTAATTTCTTTATGAGTGAGAAAACTGAAGCTAAAGGCATGATTGTTTCAATTTTCTTTCAGTCACCAACTTTTGATCACAGCTTCTCACAGAAAATAAATACCTTACCTTCTTATTAAAAAAAAAAATCACTTCTAGTTTAAAACCTATGTATCTACTCTGATTGATATTCTCTTTTCCTTCCTTTGAAGTCCTTCTCAAGGGAAAAAAAATCTATCATTATGATTCAATACTTGGTCACTATCCTATTATATGAATTTTACTTCTTTTTCTCTCTCTTTTTGGTTGGGGCTTTAAATTTGTAATTCTCTTGCTTTAGCTTACCAAGTGATAGCATTACAGACATGCACCACCAAGTCTATAGATTCTATTTTTCATTTCATGTCCCAGCCACATGACTGCTTTTTTACCATCTATAATCAGTTCTGCCACCTAAAAATCTAGAGAAACTTCTAGAAGGGCATGCAAAGACTTCCTGTCAATTGAGTATATATATTTCCTTTTCTTGAGTTAGCTAATCCTCAAAATACTCTGGGACATTAAAATATTTTGGAGAAGTAGAGTGGCTCAAGTGGTAGAGTGCCAGCCTTGAGCTTAAAAGCCAAGTGAGAGAGTGATGCCCTGAGTTCAAGCCTCACTACTTGCACACATACAAGAAAATGCTGAGTTCTGGTAGCACAGGCCTGTAATCCTAGTTATTCATGAGGCAGAGATCTGATGATCACAGTTCAAAATCAGACTGGTCAGGAAGTCCATGAGATCCTTATCTCTAAGAAATCACCAAAAAGTTGGAAGTGGACCTGTAGATCAGAGTGGTTGAGCACAAGCCTTGAGTGAAAAAACTGACAGCTATCAGGCTCTTGGTTCAAGCCCCAGTAGTCATACAAAAATACTAATTTTTTTTTGTTTGTTTTGCTTTTCTGCAAACTTCCTATCCCTCTTTCCCATTCTACCTTGAGGGTTGCTTTTTTTCCTGCCTGTTAATTAAAGGTTTAATGTCCCACATGGTTCCCCAGGTTTAATCTCCTAGGCTATGTCACCTCTTCTGAAAATTAAAGTACCACTAGTGGGTAAATGATATGCAAGTTCATATTTCTAGTACAGATGTGCAGAGTGGCCTTTAGAGACAATTCTGAAATATTAGGGGCTTCTCAAATTTAGGACTCAAGTAGAGAGTACAACCATTTACGCAGCTGCCAGAATATAGTACTCTCTGCCTTTTATCTTTGGTGATTGTGTCTCAAGATTCATGGTAGATATCTAAAATCATGAACAGAACTAAACTCTCTGCATATTTTTTATGCATATATTCCTGTTTAACTTATAAAGTAGTCATAGTGCTGAGTATAAGTGACTCATGCCTATAATCATCTTTACCCATGAGGTTGACCTCAGGATGGCAGTTCAAAGCCAGCCTGAGCAGACCAATTTGAGAGATTCTTATGAACAATTAATCAGCAAAAAGCTGGAAGTGGAGCTGTAGCTCAAGTGGTAGAGTGACAGCCATGAGGGAAAAAGCCCAGTGAGACCATGAGACCCCCTATGTTTAAGCTCCAATACTGGCAAAAACAAAACAAACAAACAGTAAAAAACTAATAAAAATAACAAGAATAATAAAATATAACAATTATAAATGATATTTGAAGCTAGGCACCAGTGATTCACACTTGTAATCCTACTCAAGAAGCTGAGACCGTAAAGATCTTGGTTCAAAGCCAGCCCAGGCAGAAAAGTCTGAGAGATTTCATTTCCAAAAGAGCCAGCAGAAGACTAGTGATAGGCATGGTTCAAGTGGAATAATGGCAGCTGTAAACAACAAAGCTGAGTGAGTGAGGTCTCAAGTACTGACCAAGAAAAAAAAACAAACCAAAAACTTCAACATGATACTCAGAATAGCATAGGATTTAAAACTTATTATTTCTGGAATTTTCCATTCAATATTTTCAGACCTTCTGAATATGAATAACCATAGAAAACCATAGAAAGCAAAACTGGTAAGTGTGGCAATACAAACTTGTTTAAATTTACTTCTACCTTATTACAAAAGACTGAAGAAGTGCTACCAAGGTTTCTGATAAAACCGATAAACTTACATGAAAAGTAAATCAAGACCCTACCTTAAACGTTATTTTTAGCTTTTCTCTTTCTGTTGGAATCTCTCCTTCTGCCTCTTGTTCTCCAGTGGAGTCACTACGTGAAACTGAAGATTTGGATTCTTCCAGAGAGCCAACTGATTTTTCATCTACTGTACTTTTAGAAGGCACATCACCAGCATGTGGAATAAAGTCATCAGGTTTTTCCCATTTGGATTCTGCCCAACATATTTTAATAGTCAGATTATTCAGTTAGTAATTCTACTTAAGAAGTAACTTCTATGCCAGTCATTTGAAATTATTAGTCAATGATATCTATTTTATACTATTACTTTATTAAAATTAATAAGATTAATAAGATTTTCCAAGTTTCTTAATTTTCTTTCAGAAATGTATTTCAAACATCTTAGATTTACTACTTGTATAAATAATAACTAATGGAAAGACAGACTTGACAACTGGTTGATACTATTCAGGATGTTCATAATTTATCTGACAATAAATTCAGTAAAATTACTGATAATGAGATTTCCTGTAATTCGCTTATTCCTGGGATTTTCACAAAGTGAAATTATACTAGAAAGATTTGAATGAATAAGATTTGGCATTTATAGTGGGGGTAAATCTTAGTTGATTGAACTCTACTGCCATCTAGTGTTTCACTGGGCTTTTAGTAAAACCATTTCTAATGTAATTATTCCCTATTTTTAGTTTAGTGAAAATGAGATTCCCTTTTTCATTCATTGTTCAACTGAGACAGTTTTAACAGTCTATTTTGAAACAGGCTATTAAACAATTACACTTGTCCAGGCATCAACTGAAATAATTCAAGGTAAATCAGTATGCAGAGCACCTTAATATATGCAGGCACTAATGAAAAATATTATTTTATCTATATTTCACACAAGTTGGGCAGGAGATAAAGTGGTAGAGTATCTGCATATCAGGTATGAGGCCCTGAATAGCACTACCAAAAAATATATTCATATAAGTAACAAAAAGTATTTTCAAAATATAATTTATTAAGCCCATACTGTGTACCTGACACTTTTCTGGGAACTTTACTGATAACTAACCCTTAAGACATACAGACTACATGTAATCATCTCTCTTTCTCTCTCTCTTTTTAACTGAAGACAGATTATATATTCTGACTTCACTGGTGAAGAAAAGCTGTAAACTGATTCTAAACCCTATTAAATTTTTTGAGTATTTATAAACATTCAGCACTTTAGTTTTACTGAGAGAGAATTATAGTTATCATTGGGAAGGATAAGAACCTACATGGAAGTTAAAAGGCCAATTGGAACCACATAGGGAGATATTGTCTCAACATTCTCCCATCCAAAAGAGAAAAAAAAAAAGTAAAAGAAAGTTCAAGGGGGCTGGGAAGGGGCTCAGTGGTAGAGTGCTTGCCTTGCATGCATGAAGCCCTGGGTTCCATTCCTTAGCACCACATAAGCAAAAAGAAAAAAGCCGGAAGTGGTGCTGTGGCTCAAGTGGTAGAATGCTAGCCTTGAGCTGAAGAGCTGAGGGACAGCGCCCA